CTTATTTTTCTCCCCTTACACATCTGCCATGCAGGTCTTTCACTTATGTGCGCAGTGAGTCGCGGAAATCTACCGCACACCTACTTCGTTCCCGGCCGCCCTAGCCCACGTTCGACATATTAAAAATTCTAACATGACTCCGAGGCGTTAGGGTCAAAATTGCAAATTTTTTACGACTCCAGGGTCTCGCAATTCCTAGAAGAAACTTGAGCACAAAGAAAGTCGGGCGCACTGCATCCTTCCCACGAGTCCATGCTTGTAACGTATAGGCAAAGACAGACACTTGCAGCAACAAGTAGATCGTTACTCAAGTTGCTCAGGGACAATAAAGCAAGCGCTGTACCATCCCTGTTGGAAAAGCGGCACTACTGTTGCCTAGTCCCTAGGCCTCATTATTCCGCGCGGCCAACTCGTTTCGGGTCACGTGGTCCAAGCGAAGGACCACTGCAAGGACCACTGGTTACCTAGGACGCTAAGGACAGAGGAGAGGGGTTCGTTCCCTGAAGATGGCTATATCGAAATGATCACTTTAAAAAATCAAACAAAACTTCGTTTCAAGGAATATCAGTATATTTACATTTCAAAAGTAAAACTCATTGGCAATATACAGGATAAACGTCTTTTTTAGCTACTTCTATTAGCAAGATAAAATATCAGTTATTCAGCTGCAAAAAATGCTCGGACACTACATATCACCAAAACTCACGACGATCGCCACCACTCGCCATACACAACAAGCTCGAATAGAAAAACTTATTAAAGATCGATGGAAAAAAATTTTCTTAAATGCCAGTTATAAATTACCTAGCAGTTCTTTAACAGCTCTAAATTCGGAAACTGCAATTGGGAGTTCACATTTTCGGATAAAATAAAATAAATAATAAATAACTGCTCCATCTCCTACCCATCAGGATTTTCAAACTTGGTAAATTCAATTTGAACTGTTTGTTTACGATATAAGTTCCACCAGTTTGCGCTAAACCCTAGCAAGGGTAATTGATGGTGATCGCTAAAATGATTAAGCTGTTCTCTTAAAATGGACATGAAATTGTCACATCAGTGGAAAGAGCTTCGGAAAACTTCACTTTCTTCGAAAACGCACGCTTTTCTTCGCAAACGTCATATTATAGAGGGGACAACTGCAGACGGGCCATACAAACCAAGCATGCTTACATATCACACATAGGAAAACTAATGCAAAAGATAATTTCTGCAAAACCTTCCCTAACAATTACAGGTCTTCCAAACGGGCCCGTCTGCGTTGTTGGCCCTCCAGCAACGGGTGTTTTTGAACCGTGTGACCGTTTCTCTGCTAAGGCCCGTTACCCTTGTGCTTATTCACACGCCCAAAAAATCTTTCGAGACGAAACAAAATTATATGAAATAACAACTTAGCCTGAAAGAACAGCCAATATCTCGCGACGCCACCACTGGTTTTGCGAAATAACGTCTGAGCGACGAACGCTGATGGTCTATGATGACGTATCACTACCCAGTGTTTCTGACTGGTCGTGCCGCGAGGGAAAATTGTTTTAACCAATCAGCGGCACTACCCACACCTGGGTAGTGACACGTCATTTGTACAGAATTTTTGCGCTCGTTTCTCAGACGTCATTTTGAGGGGGAACCCGTGGTGTGGGGTCGCAAAATGTTGGCTGATTTCTCAGGCTATAAAACAACTTTATACATATCATTTCCTGAATAGGAGTACGTGTTAAACAGAAACCGTCGAATTGTTGCTAACTATCCCAACGAACAATGTTCTGTTTATTGCACAATTTCCTACAAATAGCTAAAATTGTAACTTTAAAAAATTTCAATACCAGAGTTACCTGAAAGACTAACAAATAGGTTTGGCTAGTACTCTGAAAAGTTGTTGGTTTTCCAATAGAAGGAACTGGATTTCGTTTTTCTCAGCTCAGTCAGTTACATTTTACCAGAGTAGCAATCATAACTGAATTTTATTAATGTAAAAGCACGATCCTTAGAGCCTACAAGGCTGACAATGACTTTGAGATAAGCGAACAATTAGAAACCCTTTCACTTCGAATGAAGAGTGCTGAAAATCAAAATTCACAAAAAATTCACAACTTTCACTTTGCAAAATAGCGAAAAAAAATGGTACCAAGTGAAAGAACTGCCAAAGAGGTTTAACTTAATCAAACCCATGGAATACCGTCCACAGACACAAAAGATACAGACTGTCACCAGTCTCTTACTTTTATTCGAGGTTGGTGGGGTGGTACACGCGTGAGCGGCTCCACTCGCATCTCGAGTCTACAGTTGTGCGTGGGGCTATTTTCTACCATCGCGCGCTTAGCTCGACGAACTCACTAAGGAAAAAGAGACTGCTCGTAGTCTACTAAAGTTAGAACCTGTTTATATAGCGCAGTAAATAGCACTATGTGAAATAACGGCTGAATAGGTTTCATCTGAATGGTCAAATTAAAGGATTTCACCCACCATGGACTCAAAAGATAGAGATATATTTCATGATGAGTCCATAGCTGACTGGGAAAGAAAGGGCAAAATGCCTACACTCTGCACTGCAAAACTTCCCTTTAGGGCTTATATAGTTCATTATTTTTCGAAACATAACTACTGGCTTTTTAACTGTTTTTGAGGTTGAGCGATCTTGGTGGCGAAAGCAAAGGACTGGACCGCAAATCCAGCGGTGACAACATCACTATCATTTCGGTTACCTTCTTTTTGTGTTTCTTGGCGCAAACTAAACACTAGCTTCGCTAAGTCGAACGCGTTCCGCTAAATTGTTGTGAAGTTCCGTAAAAGAAGGTCGATCCTCCGGTTCCTTGCTCCAGCAACGTTTCATCAGCTCGTACAAGTCTCCTGGGCACGTGTCAGGCTGAGGTGGTGCAGAGAAGGGCGTGTCCGAACGGAGGAACGACGCTTGGATATTCTTAATCAGCTCCTCGTCACTGAGTTCTGAGTAGGGGTATTCTCTGGCAAGTGTGAGTATCTCCCATAATGTCACACCGTACGCCCACACATCACTTGCTGTAGTGAAGCGACCTGTGCACGATAAATCAAACATCACGTTTAATTACTCAGAGTCACTAATAATTCATGAAAATAAAATAAAAAAGAAAATCAATACCGTGTCTGTGGTTTGGATATCGATTGTGTGGTTTGAATATTGACTTGAAGAATCGTCGTTCATTAGAGAACCTTTATCAAACACTTCCCTTGGCGTTTCATCTGATATCCAGACACATCGGAGTCGGTCTTAAAAAACCTCGGCTACGCTTCGCTTTTTTAACCCACACATCGGATGAAACACTGAGTGTCGTGTTTGATATGTTACTTCAAAATGCTTTAACGTATTGGGGACACATAAGATCGGCAATTCTTAAGTGGTAAGTCAGAATACTGAAATCAAGTGACAAAATTTGCAAAAATTGCCTTTCGCACTGGTTTACCGCGCCTGCTTGCCTCTAATTTAATCGAATGATTGATAGATTGGCTAACTGAATGAACGTTGCTTTGGTTTTTATTTTGGTCTCTTCAACGACATACAAAAATGGCTCCCACTGAATGTCCGTTTACCTTGCAGTATGCTCTCAGGTGCCATCCACCGTATTGGCAGGATGACTCTTCCTTCAACGCGATAGTAGTGTTTACAATACAAGTTCCTTGACATTCCAAAGTCTGCTATCTTCACTGTGTAGGCGTGTCCTACCAGACAGTTCCGAGTTGCGAGATCTCGGTGAACATAGTTCAATGATGATATATACTTCATGCCAGCCGCCACTTGCTTTGCCATGTAAAACAAGGCGTGAAGAGAGACAAACTGAGAGTTACTACTCCTTTTCCTGCTTTGATTTACATACGTGTTTGGCTCTGGTTCTCTCTCTTTAAGAAACTGATTGAGATCGCCATTAGCCATGTACTCCACAATCATACACATGGGGTCATCACGACAGACGCCCAGCAGGCGAACAACATTCTTGTGCCTAAGGCCAGCCATGGCTTTCACTTCCTTGAAGAAATCATTCTTAATGTTCTTATCTACGTCCGGCTTAAGCGTCTTAATTGCTACTGTTGCTTTCTGGCAGTTTTTATACTCTTCCCAAATCTCGCCTAATCCTGCAGCCTCACCAATATACACCTCACCAAACTGTCCATCACCAATCTTCTCTCGAAAGTAGAGCTTGCTCCGCGGAAAGTCCTTGAAGCTATCCTGTCTGGGTCTCATACCGAGTTGCTCGTCAGGATTACAATACAAACTGGTGCCAGACACCCCCTGATAAGGCTCCGAGTACACCTCCTCGTATATGGGATTAGGGAAAATAGTCAATGCTTTAGGTGAGATTGAATCAATAGGTTCAGAATACCCACTGATAACATTAGACCTGTCGGGGGATTTCGGTAACGTAGGACTCTTAACCAAGGGTGTATCAGGTTCTGCATAATCATTATCTGGAAACTCTTCCATGTAGTCTATAGTCTGAGAATCCAGTGGAGAAGGTATGGTAGGTTTGGGTGAGGGTCCTGGTGACGCTGAAGCGGCCGATAACAGAGGAGTATCAGGTTCGGCGTAAACTACTTCAGGGACTGAATGTACTGGCTGCAGGGGTGGAGGCACCGGCGGCTTCACTGCAACAAATTCAACACCAACGATATCAGATATGAGCCAGTGGTGGATCCAGGGGAGAAGCCCGGGCAGCCCGCCCCCATTCCCCATTCCCCTTATTTTTAGACTAAACCGAGGCCCAAAGCGCCGAAAAATATTTTTTGGAGACCGAGCCCCGCCCCCTTATCTAAGGGTCTGGATGACCTCCCCCGCCCCTCACTTTATCTTGAGGTCTGGATCCAGCACTGTCAGCAATGACTGAAGTTAATACTGGGTCTGACAGGCGACACTTAAGCAGGGCATTGTTTGAATTTTGGAACATCTTTAAGTCTCTTCCGTCAAAACTGTTGAAATGACCGCTGTGGTGCTGCGTCAGTGAAACTCAAAAATTTGGTGTTATCATCTGAGTGGGTAAAGTCTACATATAGTTTTAGACGAAGTTTTTTGTAGATGAAGTTTGTCCACCGTAAAAAGATTCAAAAGCTCTCGCTTTTAGTGCTAGCCCTATGTCAGAGTGAATCTAGGATTTGAGGATTGTGTGTGGTTTATATAGCGAAATGGCAGAGCTTAGACTGCGAGTAGTCCCTCAGTTTCCCTCAGGGATGGTAGAGCGAGCGAAACGTGAGCGCGCGTGAAATCCCACGCGAGAAAGGCGAAACGGGGTGGAGGGAGAGAAAATTGAGGGACTACCTCTCCCCCGCCGCGTCTCGCCTTTCTCGCGTGGGGTAATTTTCAAGTGCGCTCCCGTTTTGTTCGATCTACTATCTCTGAGGGAAAATGAGAGACTACTCGTAGTCTAGGCAGAGTTTCACTAGTTGTGGAAACGCGTCAGCTGTACATTCACTATGTTTTTTACATTCATTTTTCAGTATTATACACTGCAAAACAAGACCTTCCTTCAATTTTTCACTTCTGTCTCCATACATATGAGATCACAACACGGATTCTTTGCAACAAACCTCTTTTTCGGAGGTTTTATATCAGAGCCTAAACAACGGATGTAACACTGCGTGTCGTGTTTGATATGGTTACTTCAAAATTGCTTGAACCTTCAGTTATTTTATGTTATCGGAAACTCTTAATTTCACTAGCACTGCAAAAAAAGACGTTCCTTCAATTTTGACTTTCTCTACCCATACGTATGCGATGATCACAACACAGATTCGTTGCAACAAACCTTTTTTCAGTGGTTTTATATCAGAGCCATGTCTATGCAGCTTCTGAGAGCCGTTAACGTAGCCATTGGTGTTGGATTCCTTATCCATATCAGTCCCAATAGAGGCGTATATAGGGCAGGCTGTCACATCTGCTCCTCCAGCTCGCCTTGAACTGTTAGTATTGCCAGTGTTTCTGAGGGTGCTTCTTTTCTCCTCGCATTCACTCGCTGTGCTCTCCACGCGAGAAACTCGTCTGTTCTCGTCGTACTGGTTATATGGCTGCATTTCAACTTTGATAAAATGATTGAAAGGCTTTTCTCGGTGAAAGAACCAGTGAGGATAACGCCACCAACAAATAAACAACACAACAGCTAACAACACAGCAATCACTGCACAGACAATACCAGCTATCACACCACCATCCATTGAATTACTCTTTGAACTGCCTCCAGCTGGTGGAAAATTAAAAGTGAAAGGATTACAAAATACAATTGAACCGGTTTTGCAAGAATTACCTGTCCTTGATATTTATCAGATGTATAGACTGAGGATTGACAAACAGCCACTGAGGTGAAAAGTACTGTCAATCACATTACATCCATGTAATTGAAGAGGGTTGGACATCACATGTCCCTTGATCTACTGACAACAGATGGGGGCGCAGAGGCACAAGTAACGACACTATCAAGGAAGTAGGCAGTTCCTGCATCAAACACAGCGACTTTTTCGTTTCCCATAATGCAATTTGTTCTGCCCACAAAATTTTGCACAACTTTTGCTTTCAATTTTTCAAGGGACGACTGTTGGTCCTAAAAAAGAGAGATCGTGGGGAAAACAAACTGCATCATGGAGAACTTGAAAGTCGCAAATTTACGCTCAAATGGACTTTGACAAAGGTTTGCCAATCACTCGCTATGAATTAAACTTACATTAGCAAAAAAATAATAGTAATACTTTTAAAAGAGGAATACGCTTATACACTTTCATATTTTACTTTAGTGGCTAATTTGAATCTGTTCGGTGGCCAGTTACATAGATGAATGAAACAATAATTGTTCCTTTAATTAAATATGAGGACTTTAAACTGGTCAGGGCCCAGGAAAGAAGACTCCCTTTTAAAGAGACGTAAATGCTCATTATCTCACTTAGGGTGTAACAATTCAGTTTTTCGTCTCTTGCAGGGTGTTTCAGGCAAAACGTCAATGCTTTTAGCCGTCATGATCCCTTTTAGGCTCACACATGAAGAATTACAGACAAATATAAATTCTATTTTTAGCAGTCTGGTATCCTTAAGGGGCCAATAAAAGCCTAAGCCAAGCCCAAATTGGTCATTCTAAATTTCAGATAACACCATATGTTTCATATGCCTCCCCAAATACCCTGCGCCCCTTGGAGGACATGATATTATTCTAAAGTGAATTTTCCCTGAAAGCAGCTCAGTATGTTTCATACCTGTTCCCTCTGTTTTTGATCGGCTAGTGGTAGGAGGAAAAGTTACTTTATCAGATGGTCTTTCAGTGTTTGTTGGAAGAATTGCAACTGGCATACACTGAACCTCTGGGGGAGTCTTGGAACCAAGGGCTTCTGAAAACAACACAAACGCAGTATGTTGTCTTAATGCTGCAAAATAAATGGCTTCAGGAAAATAATGGGGTCTATACCAGCAGATGCTTCTGGTAATGATAACTACAATGGAACATAATGGTGAAATACAAAAGACCAGGGAAGGTTTGCCACTAAAATGTACGTAGC